AAGAACTAGTGAACCTTTTTAAAAGAAAAGTAAAATCATTGTCTTGAAATCCTTTAATTAACAAATGAAATTTTTTTTACCTAAAACAAAAAATAAACCATTTTTCTGGTGTCTGCTTTATTTTTTTTTATGCTCAAATGGAATACACAGAAGATGCAAGTAGTGATAGAATTTCGAATGATTCTAGTTTAGTTAATGAAAATGATTCTTTTTTGATTAGTGAAGCAGACTCTTTTTTAATTAGCAAAGCAGATTCTGTTAAAACAACACAAACAATACAGTCATTGAATAAAGGAAGAAGACCACTAGCAAATATCTGAGATGAATATAATATAATTTATAATGGAGTAGAAAAGCATAAAGGAGCATTTTGCAAATACTGTTCTACTTCATAGGTTCAGGAAAGGGCCCAGGAGATTAAAACTCACCTTGCGATGAAATATAAAGGAAGAATACCAAGAGAAATTCGTATTAAAGTACTTAGAGATATTCAGAGCATAGATGAGCCTATTCTATCTGAATCATCTAGATCATCTACTGCCTTAAAAAAAAGAAAGTTAGACTACTATCTATTGTTTCTGAATGCCTATTATGATACAATTGAAGCTATTAATAAAGTTAAAGAAGCCAGAGCCAACAAGTCATTAATTAGATGGATCGTGAGTTCGGGTATTTCATTTTCTGCATTTGATAACTCATACTTTGAAGATTATATCAAAATATTAAATCCTAGATATAATTCACCTAAGCGCTATACATTAGCAGCATCAATTTTAGACGCAGAAGCAGCAAATATTATACTAAAAATAGAAAAAGAACTATCTTAAGCTAACAATCTTACTTTATCGATAGATAGTTGGTGCAGCCTATTAAAACATAGTATATACGCTTTTGTTATAGTGACTAGTGAAAAGAAACAGTATGTTTATTCATTACATGATTTTTTAAAATTTTCCCATATAGCGAATTTTAATGCTGAAAAAATATTAGAAGTGTTAGAAAAAGTCGGTCCAGAAAAATTTATAGCAATAACTACTGATGCTAAATCGGCAATGACAGCAGCCAAACGACAGGTTGCAATAAAATATCTAACCATTTTGCCTATAAGATGCGTTGCGCATCACATCCAACTTATCTCTAGTAGTATATGCAAATTAAAATATGCAAAAGATATTCTATCAAACTGTCAAACTATTATAAGTTTTTTTAGAAATTTTTACATTGCTGGTGCTGCCCTTAAAGAAGAAATTATATTCTCCTCTACCATTAGTGGAAATTTAAAATCAACGACTAAAACTCGGTAGTCAACAGCGTGGGATTTTTGTCAATCTATATTAGATAATGAAACAAATATTAGATCAGTAAGTCTATAATTCATATTTGTTAGTACTTATTATAAATTGTATTCTATAGTCCATAGAGATGTTATTCTGCTTTGTGAATTAAAAAATAATACTCAAAACGAATAGTTATTTCTGAAAAGTTTTAAGCAAACTGGTTTTACAAATAGAATTTCTAAGTATTAAAATATTGAGCTAAATTACTATTATTAATGAAGTATGTTCTTAAAAGTATTATGAATAAGTTTAATTAGCCATATATCAACAAGTAATAATGCAAACGAATCTCGCTAAGCAGGGTTGAGCATTTTAAGCAAAAATAACATTCGATTATCTTTTTGTTATATTATCCGCTTTATATATTTTATTATAAATTGCATTAATGATTTATTTTGAATAGGTTTTAGAAAAGAAGCCTCAAGCTTTTAATTATTCAAGTGCTACAAAGATATAATTAGCAACCGTTAGTTTTGGTCTGATATTAAGCAATTGCGAAATCTTCTCAACCCAGTAAAACGGGCTATAAAAAGTA